AGGCGCTTGATGCCAGCGTACAGCGACTCAGCACGCTCATCTGTTCCCCCAAACTATTTTATTATTTAACTTTTGCTTTCCGTTGAAGCTTCTGCATGTCCCTGCTGAAATGTCAAGTTAATTTAAAGATGATGCGGTGCTCTTCTGACATTTTTATCCAGGATGTGACCGCATTAAAGGGAATAAAGGCAGAGAGAGCAGCTGACAGGCCTGTTACAGAAAATACAATGAAATAAAAAGCAGTCTTTTGGTACTGCGTCCAGTCAGTAGCAGACACGGTGCTGTCGCGTCTGGTGTCATGGGTGGTGGTGCAGCGTAAGCGCTGCAGAAACCATCGTTTTGCTGGGCAGAACGGGTGCGTGTTCAGGCAGAGGGAGCCGGGCAGAGGACCCGTCCCCTCCCCGGGGGACACTGCGGGCAGAGCAGAGAAGGGGTCAGGGCTTGCCCGGGGCTTGTACACCGCCTGGCAGCGTGGCGGGTCGGCCCCTGATGCCGAGGGCTCCTCGGTTCCAGCAGGGTGCCGGCAGCCAGCGCCGTGCCCGCACCGCGGGAAAGCGCGGGCAGGTGCGGTGTTCACAAGGTTGGGATCTACGTAAAACCAAAATCCTGGCAGGTCCTTACGGAAAAACACGCAAAGGCGTAGCCGGAGTCGCGGCACTGATTTCGGAATATTTTTGTTCTTGTGGCACACAACTTCCATACAGATTGAGATTATTTTTGTGAAACATCTGGTCCGCAAATCAAACCGTCTCTGGGGTGCGTTGCAACATGCCCGTGCACAAAAGCGCCCGGCGCGGGCTGGAACCGCTGTACTGGGGGTCATGGTGGGAGTGTCGGAACGCGAGGTGCATCGTCACCCCCCCTGCCATGGGGCATTTAGCGGGGCAGAGGGCTGCCGGGCTGCTGCGCCGGGGGTTGGGGGGCCCCTTTGCCCCCGGCGCGCTCCTCCGCGGTGGTACTGCGGTGCAGCACCGCTGCTGCCGGTGGCGGCGGGCGCATGTGCAGCGGGGAGGACGGGGAGTTGTGGAGGGCTTTTCACGAGCCATACGGACCTGAAACAAAGCACAAGTCCCATTTATGATGCCGCAGGCTGGTCCCGAAGGCTGCTGTGAACGCAGCAACGTGAGGGAATTCGTGCTCACCCTGGTCAGTAAACCTGAAGTAGTCGGGAAAACCCGACAGGATGAGGGCTCCACAAGTCAGCGACAGGATTGGCTTTTGTTTCCAGTTCAGAAAGCATCTCAAAAAGCGCTGTATTGAATGGATATCTATACTTATTAACACCACTTTAAATTTTTTTTTTAAAAAAAAAGTGCTGTGCCGTTCTTTGGATGATGTGCCATTGTCATTCTCTTTACAGCAGCTGTGTGTTTTTAAGCTCCATTGTATGGTGTGCTGCTGTACGGCTGCAGCACTGTGGCTCGAGCGCTCGAGTTGGCGAATTTAATTTGGCTGCCGGGGTTTTAATATTCCTCCATCGTGCTCGTTCTGTTTGAGGCTGTGGACTAATTACGGGCGAGTTTAAAGGGCCCAGTCTGTCACACTCCGCAAACAGTTTGAAGTTGGAGAGAATCCATTTGAAAAAATGAGGAGGCACAGCGATGGCGCTCGTAACTCTGCTAAATGTCGCCCAGATGCCTTCGCGCAGTAATTTTATAAATATGTGTATATATGTGTGTGTGCGTGCGCTTGTGTAGCTACCTAATGAAGTGGTGAGCGCCTAAAACTTGGGTGTCGTCCGAGTTGTCTTAGCTGGCAGAGAACGCCATCTGTATCGCCAGACGATGTGTGTTAGTGTCTGCGCTGGAGCACTGGCCGCCCCACACTCTCTTCGTAGGACCAACGCTAAAAAGAAATCACGATTAAGTGAAACGCGCAGCTTTAGGGAGGCCAATGGTTCCTTCGCTGGAGATCTTCTTTAATTATAAACCAGTCCTCCGGTGGATCTACGTACACGTAGGTCTTGAAGGACCATTGCAACGTTTTACTTCTGCCCGTACAGCACGTTTTGTTGCGTTACTGATTAACATCAGGAAGGGAAGCCTTTAGCTTTATCTTAAGATGGAAAGTACAACGCTGAGCCTCTCTGTTTCCGTGCTTTCTGTGTCCTCTGCTTTGCCGCATCTTGTAAAACATCCCTTGGCTCTGCACCAGCTGATCACGTAAAGGATAACCGTCGGCTGCGTGTGGCTGCGTGACTGCTGCTCCCGCCTGGGCTCAGGACCCGAGCGGGGCTGTTGGGTGATGGCAGAGCCTTTCGTTGGCTTTGTTCGACCGTAGTGAAGTCAGAAACAGATCGAGGGCTTTCTTGTCAGCCCCCATTGGAGGAGAAGCGATGATTTGTCTCCTAGGACACAGGGCAGAAGGCTGGTCTCTGGGGTGCCGTCGGCCTGCGCCGGCACCTAAACGCAGCTGTTCTCCGAAGTGGAGCAGAAGTCCACGGCGCGTCCCTGGAATTCGGGAAGCGCGTTTAAGGTCAGCCAGTCCGTCTTCAAATTCTGGGTTGTGGCAGCAGCAGCGTCATGCGGGGGGACGTTCCTTGCTGCGTAGGGCAGAGCAGCAGTGGAGGTCGGTACGTGCGCGGTGTGACGTGTGTTCGTCAGTTCCATACCAAAGCACCGGTGACGATTTTTCTCTCCTCTGCCGTGCAACCGCTGCAGTGCTGTGCCTGTGTCGGGGGCACTCCTGGCCTTGCTTTAACGTGAGATTATTCCTCTCTGGAGCGCTGTGTCTATGCGATCCTTCTTCTCCAAGAAGACTCTGGGATTGAACTGGACTTCCAGAAAGCTCCTTCTAAACTTTAACTGGTCTGTGTTTCCTATTGCAACCATCCAAACCATTTGCTAATCATAACTTTGTCATTCCAGCTGCAGCCAACATGTTGTTTGACTTGGATATTTGTTCGCACTTACAACCGCTTGAGAACTTTATTTTTTGTAACCTGTTGGTCTCTGTCCCCAGACGGGGAAGCGAGCTGCACTGTCCAGTTTGCACTGTTTCTCGACTAATATCTCTTCCAGCACGTGAATACAAGTTTGCTTTCAGCAGATTCTCTATTTAGTGTAAAAGCTGACGTAACATTTTTTATTACAGGAAGACAGTAAATTGAGACTATTTCTAGATGCCGAGATGCTATCTCAGGAGTTAATCCCCAGTTTTACAACCCTCTCTAAACAACAACTTTCCCCCCACCTTCACCGCCATTTTCCCCGTCACCATTTGCTCGGTTAAAACGAGGCCTCGTGTGGGGATTGCCACCCGAAAACAAAGAGCAGCCCCGCTCTTGTTCTCCGCTGGGCGCTGGACGGCGTCCCTTGCAGCCTCCGCCAGAGCTCCCAGCAGGGCAACAAGCGCTCGCGTGTGGGAGCGTGCGTTAGATTCGATTGCCGAGACGAGAACAGGACACGTTGGCAGTGGAAACAGGCTAATGACGGCTTGATAACCTGCTACGCGAGCCTTGGTGCAGTTTGTTAAATTGTGCAGGGTTTCTCTGTTTTGCTTTCCTAATTCAAGCATGTAGACCTTGTATCTGTAAGTATTGTGTGTTCCTCCTATGATTCTTGTCACTGGTGCTTCAGAAAGTCAGACCTGGGCTGTCCGCGGCTAAATTGCAAAGGAACGGGTCCTGCTTGTTCCCCTGCATGCGCAGGAGGACCGTCCCGCCGCCCTGGGCTTCTCTGGGCTGCGGGGGACTGCGGGGAAACGCCAGCGCCAGTCGCCTCTCCTTGCAGCAACAGAACTCAAGCTCCGGGCTGCCTCCCAGAAGTACGACGTGGAGCGCTTCTCTGCTCGTCCCCACGCCGTTTTATTCATTTAAACATTGCCTGCATCGAACCGAGGGGAGCTGCGCGCAAGCTGTCAGCTCGGAGCCGTCGGTGGGGACCTGCGGGGGGGAGCCGGCGGGGGGGCCCGGCGGGGTGGGGGGCGGGTTGTGCGCCCCCAGGGCGAGCAGCCGGTGCCGCAGGGCACCTGGAACCAGGCGGGAAGGAAATGAGTTTCAACAACCAAATAAGTCAGTAATTCGGCTGATGGGAACAAACGTGATTTAGACCTCTTGGCGCAGAGGAGGTAACTCAGGGCACTGTCGGCAAAAGCCTTGAGATTTGGGTCCGTCTTTACAGTTGCCAGCTCCGGACGCCTGGGAGGAGGTGCAGCATCCCTCAGTTGGCAAGGCAGCCGCCCCCGAGAGATCTCCCATGGCAAGACATGCATGCAGAGTACGGTCAGCTTCAGACTAGCGACTGAAAAACTCTAATATGTTATATATAATACCAGTAACTGTTAACTAGGTAACTGTTGCGGTAGAGGAACTGCTTGTTTCCTCCTGCAGTTGCCCATTCTAGAACAATGTTTTTTACACTGGAAAAAGCGCGCACCTTTCCGGCGCGTGGCTCGCTGCAGCCGGGGCGGAAGGCCACCCACACCCTCAGAACCAGACGTGGGATTTTTCGGAGCCTCTCCGTTGTTGGCGCTCCCTTGCCCCCTCTGCAGCGGTCTGGGTGCCGCGGCTGTGCCGTGCCCGGCCGTGCCTGGGGGGTCGCTGCCTGCGGGGGACGAAGGGGGGGAACGGGCGGGCACAGGTCAGGCTTCGGCGAAGGCAATGTTTAAATGCGTAAAAGCTGTTTTCCAGTCGTTGGCCCTTTGTCCCCGTCTTGAGCTTCTGTTTTGGTCCGTACCAACGAAAGCGTTGGTGTCGGTGTGCTCCCCCGTCTCCCGTTCCCCTGACTTTGCAATCACCAGTAATTGTTCTGGCAAGGTCCTGGAAAAAGAAAAATTTACTGTTTTCCTCAGGCTCATAGCTTTTGAACTGGAGGCATGTCTTCTAAACAGTGCAACTCACTTCAAATGCTTTTTGCCTTTCATTTTATTATTGCTTGTCACGCAATGTTCTTTGAAAGCTTGCTCATATATTATCTGTTCCATTTTTTCCATTTTCCCTTTTTTTGCATGCTGTTCCTCCTGTTTCTTCCCTTCCTCCAATCCTCTGTTCCCGTGTGTAGACACAACGGCGACGACAGAACCGGCAGTTCACGGTTGGTATCACATTCCTGTTTTCTCTTATTTCTCAGCGCTGCTGAGTGGCAAGACAAGCCTGGGAAGGGGAAGCCAAAAAGGGAAATGCAGTCTTCAAGGGAAAACCCTGTTTCAGGTGGACGGATCTCATAAATATCACACAGGTTTTAAGGCTGGAAAGTCTGTCTGGTCTTGTCATTTCTGTTGCGAGCTTCGCAGCCGGTCGTTCTGGTGCCGGGCGAGCACCCATCCCCCACGCCCCGCAGGACCGGCGTACGTGTGCGAGCGGTGATTCTCCCCTCCTCCCCGTTCCCGGGGTCATCGCTTCGCACAAGGAAGAGAAATGAGGCTTTTGAAAAAGGGAATCCAAATTTAATTTTTTTTAGGAAATCTCAGGTGTTTGTCTTTCGTTTGGAGTTTGTAAGAGAGCGTGTCCGGCGGGTGCGCCGGCGCGGGGCAGCCTGTGGCGTGCCGGGGATGCTCCGCAGCGGAGCGCGCGCCCCGGCGGTCAGCGGTGCAGTGTGCATTATTACACTGCAGAAGGAGGTTTGGAAAACAAGCAGCAACACTGCTATCAGCATAGCAGTCTAGCAAACTAACCCTTCTCGTCTGCTCCCGGCGGTCTGGCTAACAGCTTGACAGCTTCCGGAGCTTCCTGCATTTTTAAAGCGAGCCTAAATAGTCGCTTCAGACGGGAAGCTGAGCGTACCCGTTTTTGGCACGAGCTCGCTTTTCAGCTACAGAACCGAAACCTCTGACAATTTTAATGAAGGCTAATCCATATTTCAGCTTGCTATTTTAGTTTCTTTTAACTCTGATAAATCGAGTGTTTCTTTTATTGACAGAGCCCTGTAGTGCAGAGCAACCTCTTTGTCCTGCCTCCTCCCACCCAGGCGGCTCTCGGGCGCGGGGAGAGGGAGCGCAGGGTGAAGGCACGGTTCGGTAGCGATGCCCCGTGTCCAGCGGAGGGACGTGCAGTTCTCGTCCCGGATAACTTACCTGCTTGGATGCGTTTTCCCACTTGACTTAAAAATCGGAAGCCTTCAGACGTGGTTCTGTTTTCTCCAGAGCGCCCATCTCCCCGTGTACATTTAATGTCAAGATTCAGCACGGGCGAGTTCGTAGCTACCGTGACTTCCGTCACGGCAAAGCAATAAAAGTCCAAGTGACGTCTCATCCCGCACTACGCTGACGCTTGTGGAAGTCAGATGAAGGCAAAACGTTAATCACCCGATCGTTAAGCCCTGGGGAGGGGGAGGCTGCAGAGCTGCCCCTGAAGATGGCAGCCCAGCTGAATTACCGGCAGGTATGCTCGGGGGCACCAGCTCAGGTGGTGGGGGTCCCGCTGCTCCTTTCACGTACCAGCCGGGCGCTGCGCTTTCTTACAAGTGTCTGAGAGCAGTGGGGAGAGGCGGCGGGGGCTGAAGGGGAGCCGCTCCGTCCCCACCGCTCTCCCGCCCCGTGGTTGTGGGCTCTGCAGCGGGTCGGCGCGGTGGCAGGGCATCCCGCGGCCGCAGCGCCGGCGGGCAGGGCGCGGGGAGAGGGGTCGGCGCCGAGCCCGCAGCGCTGCTCCGGCCCCACCGTTAGTACTCGGGTTTGCTGAGAAAAGGGGGATGCGTGCAGGCAAAAGAACGAAGTGCCCCGCAAGGTCAGAAAACAGAACCCTTTTTTTCAGTTTGTCTCAGACGGCGCTGCGGATGATGCCGCTGCGTTTGGGCGAGACGAGGCAGCCCTGACACTGGCGTGACTTCCAGCGTCGTTTCTGGATGTCTCGGCGAGCCGTGTCTAACGGGCAGGGTGTTACTCCGGTGCGAAGGCAAGCCGGGCAGGCTGAGTGCAGGAGGGGGCGCGGGAGGGTACACGCAGCCTTGCCGCCCGCGCCCCTTTCTTTAACGCAATTCCCGACCGCTTTCGTCAGTTTTACTGGTGTTGGGGAAAGCCCCAAAAAGCGTGGTTTCAAGTCCAGGGGTCCCCCTGAGCGTTTCCAGCTGTAGGGAGGCTGACGGCTGAAATGACAAGCGAGCGCAGTCCCGTGAGCTGCCACAAACTTTCCTGCCTTAAAACCCGGCCGGTCCGCACCGACCCCCCGCGCTTGGCCCGGGGGTGCTTTTCCCCTGGAGACTCCGGGGTTTCTTTCCAAGCTTGTGTTGCTGGAGTGTGTATGGAGTACACCAGGTGTTTCTGTATGTTGGCCATTTGTTCTTACCGATGTCCGATGGGAGTGAGCATGTCTGTGAATGACTAGAAATGCATGGGCATGAACTACAGCCAAATGGATTTTCTCCAAAAACCGTTCCAAATGAATTGGGGGAAGAAAAAATAAAACAAAAACCAAACCAAACGAAAAAACCCAAAAAAGAGATTGCTAGCAAAGAAAACGAAATGTAAGGCTAGTGTGGAACCAGCACAATACTTCAATCTGGGAAAGGATTTTTGAGTACTTTAATTTTTTGGAGTGTATCCTAGAGGACTGGGGGGGGGAAAGGAGTCCTGTATGTGTGTGCATGTAACAGCGGTAGCAAAGCCCCTGCCGTTCCTGTTTCCTCCTGGAACGGAGTTGACGGCAGCGATGCATGAGTGACTTAAAGCACGAACATTGTTAACTCTTTTGTTTAAAAATGATAGCTTAACTGTAAATTTTCTGACGCACTTTCTCCTTTCTCTGCACTGTTCATTGCCAGAACTCCAATAACAGCATGGTCATGGCCGGCAGGAAGGCTTGTGCTTCTGCTGCACCGCGCTAAGCCGGGTGTCCCGAGCTTAAGCCCTCCTTCCCTCTCTCTCGTTTGTGCCCCTCCTGGTGTCGGGGCGCCAGCGGGGCTGAAAGCGCAGGTCCTGCCTGCCAGCGGCCCCAGCCGGGGCACGCCGCGGTGGAGCCGGGAGAGTAACGTCTCTGAGAGGCTGCCACCGCCGAGCCTGGAAGGAAAGCCCTTTTTCTGCCATCCCCTTCCTCCTCCGCCACGCTCCCCCCTCAAAGTCAACGTGCCAGAATTTAATTTCTGCGGGGCTGCTGCCCTCTGGGGAGCGCTGCGGGTGAGATGCCCGGCTCCCCTCGTGCCCCCCGCACGGGCCGGACATGTATAAGCAGCCATGACCTTATACATGGTGGCCCTTTGCTGCGGCAGAAGTAATTCCGCCATTTTTTCCCAAATTTTGACCTCTCCTTCTTGTAAGGGAAGAGCTTTGAGAGCTCCTGAACAGTTTTCCCAGG